AAAAAAATGTCATCAACTCCATCATTTAAAAGCATGTAATTATCTGACCAGTATAAAAAACATGGGTCATTAAACCACCATTTAAAACACTGGTAAATATTTGGCCACTTAAAATATTCTGGTCAATACTCTGGCCATTAAGAAAATAGTGGCCATTATAATGGCCAGAAGTGACTTTTTAAAGGGGTCTGAGGGGTGTAAAAACAGTGTTAAAGTAAAATGAAGAATTATTATAACCTTCTCACTAACCTAAAAGCACAAATAAATATTCAAAAGTTTTGAAAATTAAAACTTTCCGAAACGCGACGGAATTTCCGAAAGTAATCCGGACGCTGTTTTAAATAAAGAATTATGGTAATTTATACCAAAAATAATAAAGCCACCACAGCATTGTATCAGATTTGGAGAAGGGTCTAGACATTATGTCTTTGGCTTCACCTCGAACATTATCTGGTTATAGACCCTTCTCCTCATCCAAGGCGGCTCTGTGGGGAATCCATTATTGTATTACAATATTGAATCCATTTAATTTGAATCTGCTTGAAATTAGTAATGAAAACTTGTGAAGAATTTGCTGTGTAAAAATAAAAGCAAATTGATAAAAAGAAACTAAAACTAATCACTTAAATGTATCTACTTTAAACATATTTTCCATCATGGGCAAGATGTGTGCCTTGTACAGTTTAAAGCAACAGTAAAGGATTTCGAATAATTATGCATAGACTCTTAAAACGTAGTTATACTTGAATTGGTATGGATCTTATCCAATTGAGTATATTGTTTGACACATTAATCATACTATATAATAGTAGATAACGTGGATTGAATCAATTATTTACCTATGTAGGTAATGGCTGGTAGACCCCTCAAAGGTCGTAGGGGAATCAACGTGATAAAGGCTATGCAAGCTTTGGCACCAAATTTACATGATAATCTTGTGGAATTGTGGGACACCATTACACCCAAACTTATACTCTATTTAGAAGGTAAGTATTTTACATTGCCTTCAGTAAAAGCTGTGTAAAAAAATCTATGAATGTTGGCATGTATACAAACAAATCTATGAATGTTGGCATGTATACAAAAAAATCTATGAATGTTGGCATGTATACAAAAAAATCTATGAATGTTGGCATGTATACAAAAAATATATGAATGTTGGCATGTATTAAAAAAAATATATGAATGTTGACATGTATACAAAAAATATATGAATGTTGGCATGTATTCAAAAAAATATATGAATGTTGGCATGTATACAAAAAAATATATGAATGTTGACATGTATACAAAAAATATATGAATGTTGACATGTATACAAAAAATCTATGAATGTTGGCATGTATACAAAAAATCTATGAATGTTGGCATGTATACAAAAAATCTATGAATGTTGGCATGTATTCAAAAAAATGTATGAATGTTGGCATGTATACAAAAAAATATATGAATGTTGACATGTATACAAAAAATATATGAATGTTGGCATGTATACAAAAAAATCTATGACTGTTGGCATGTATACAAAAAATATATGAATGTTAGCATATATACAAAAAATATATGAATGTTGGCATGTATACAAAAAATATATGAATGTTGGCATGTATTCCAAAAAATATATGAATGTTGGCATGTATACAAAAAAATATATGAATGTTGACATGTATACAAAAAATATATGAATGTTGGCATGTATACAAAAAAATATATGAATGTTGGCATGTATACAAAAAATATATGAATGTTGGCATGTATACAAAAAAATATATGAATGTTGACATGTATACAAAAATATATGAATGTTGACATGTATACAATAAATATATGAATGTTGGCATGTATACAAAAAAATATATGAATGTTGACATGTATACAAAAATATGAATGTTGGCATGTATTCAAAAAAATATATGAATGTTGGCATGTATACAAAAATATATGAATGTTGACATGTATACAAAAAATATATGAATGTTGGCATGTATACAAAAAAATATATGAATGTTGGCATGTATACAAAAAAATATATGAATGTTGACATGTATACATAAATATATGAATGTTGACATGTATACAAAAAATATATGAATGTTGGTATGTATACAAAAAAATATATGAATGTTGACATGTATACATAAATATATGAATGTTGACATGTATACAAAAAATATATGAATGTTGGCATGTATACAAAAAATATATGAATGTTGGCATGTATACAAAAAAATATATAAATGTTGGCATGTATACAAAAAATCTATGAATGTTGGCATGTATTCAAAAAAATATATGAATGTTGACATGTATTCAAAAAAATATATGAATGTTGGCATGTATACAAAAAATATATGAATGTTGGCATGTATACAAAAAATCTATGAATGTTGGCATGTATACAAAAAAAATATATGAATGTTGGCATGTATACAAAAAATCTATGAATGTTGGCATGTATACAAAAAATCTATGAATGTTGGCATGTATTAAAAAAAATATATGAATGTTAGCATGTATACAAAATTCTTTAAGGATGTAATAAAGCATTATTCTATTCTATTCATAGTAAAGGATTAAGTTAATGTGATGGGGTGGGA